AGAGCACCAAATGTGAATTAAAGCTGCAGTAGGTAACTTTTCTACAAATAACTTTTTGTTATATTTGCTGAAACTTTCACTATATCCTGACAGTAGTACACGAGACAGATAATCTGTGAAAACATCTGGTTCTTCTGACTCCTAAACCTGCAGAAAATGCTGTAAAATTAACCAAACCTTAACCCAGCCTCAGCCCGATGTGTCACTCTACAAAACTGATCAAATCAGAGCTTCAATAGGAACCAATGTGTTTGGAGTGAAGAGCCACAGACAGATGGGGCAGTCAGAAAGCACTGAGAGACACACTGACACACTGTTGTTTTGGGATTTGTTGACAGTCCTCTAACAGGTGGGTCATATAGCATTATGTGACATTGCCTCTGCTTATCTGTCCAATCAGGGTCACTCCAGCTTCATAACTCACCTGGATTGGTCCAAAGATGGAAAGTACATCATGTCTAATTCAGGCGACTATGAGATCCTGTACTGTAAGTGAAGACGTTTTGTCCTTCAGTCCTCAGACAGTATGACAGTGTACTGTTGAGACTCTGAAGATGAATTTGTTTTGACAGGGGACATAGCGGCAGGCTGTAAACTGCTGAGGAACCGCTTTGAGAGCAAAGACAGAGAGTGGGCCTCCTACACCTGTGTGCTGGGCTTCCACGTCATGGGTGAGAAATGGAATGTTTTTGTCCTTTGGTGTGTTGGGACTGTTGCAGCCTGAACAACTCAGACTGACGAGTGCTACTGTGGTGTTCCAGGTGTGTGGTTGGAGGGCTCTGACGGCACCGACATCAACGCCCTGTGTCGCTCTCACAGTGAGAGGATGGTGGCTGTAGCTGATGACTTCTGTAAAGTCCACCTCTTCCAGTACCCCTGTCCTAAACCTAAGGTACGTATAGATCACACTCACTTCCTGTTTACTGTTTACTGTGGACAAAACCACACACCCAAACTGCAAAATACATCATATCCTGCAAAATGAAGGACTGCAACCAAAACTACATATAGCTTTATCAAAATCAAACTTTTTCCCCAAATGGCACACACTTCATTCACATTACCTGATTGTTGTCTAACCAACTACACACTGTTGGGCATAATGAAGAGCACTCTCATCTTTAGTATGCTTTGCCATAATACTAAAATAGTTCAAATTGTAGAAAATTCTTCAGATTGTTCACATGCACAGAAATATTTGCAGATACACACACATGCTGTTGAAACATTTATTTCTTTATTTTTCACCAAACAACTCAGGGCAACATATGCACAGCAGATATATTTACATTAGAGTGAACAACAATATGCTCACAAAAAACAGTAAACTGAAAAAGAACATTGCAGAAAAAATATATAGGAGAAAAAAGGTGCTCATCTGTGGTGTTTTTATACTTCCTGATTGAAGTGGTAACAGTCATTGAGGTGTCACATATATTGGCCAATTAGCTCATGTATGGCAGTGTTTTGAAATGGCAAACGTGTGACTTTATGTCAGATTGTTGTGTCTTATGCAGAGAACCGTGTTCAGTGCATTTAAAAAGTGCCATTTTGAATTGCAAAATGTGTGTAAAGCAGAAACTGTGTTTAGAGTTTGGGAGACTTGAGAAGAGGTTTTGCTCTCTGTGTGTCAGTTTAGTGTGTTAGCGAGTGGAAAAAACTGTAATAATGCTATGTGCTAGGCTAGTCTATGTTAAAAAACCAACCACATTTTGAAGATGGTGAAAAGATAAAAGCGACATATTCAGTTTACATAGCTTTACATTTTAAGTTTGCTAATGTTAGCTAAATGCTAGCTAACTAGCTACATCAAGCTGACATTAGCTATCAGATGTAACAACCTAGCTAACAATTAATGTAGATTAGCTAACTAGTTAGCTAGTGTTTTTCTCTGTAGCTAAATGGTTCCAATTCTGATTCTGAACACTAAGCTAACAAGCTAAATAACCAGCTAACTAGCCAGCTAACGATTTATGTAGATAAGCTGCAGTTAGCTAACACTTTGCAAACATTAGTGATCTTTCTCAGCTGTTGTTGGAGCACAGAGTAAAGAGGGACGGGTCAATTGTGTCACTGTTGAAATCCCCCTCCCTACAAAGATACAATGTGGTGATCTTTTTCCTTTCCTCTACAGGCACCGAGCCACAGGTATGAGGGCCACGGCAGCCACGTCACCAACGTCTGCTTCACCCATAGCGACTCCCACCTCCTCTCCATGGGCGGGAAGGACACCTGCATCCTTCAGTGGAAGGTGGTGGGAGGTGGGGTGGGCGACAGCAGGGAGAGACTGGCCTCTGCCTCATCCACCTCCACCAGCTCTCCAGAACCTGCCACCAGCTAAAGGAAAGTTGTGGACAGTGACAGAGGGCGGAACTGTTTACACGCAGCCAGAGAGGCGTGTTCGTCAGCAGACGGCGGGCGCAGTCGGGCCTCTGCGGTGCCACTGCTGTGTCGGTTTCATACAGAACATGTAGAGGAATCCTCTCCAGGAGGAATGTCCATATTAAATTTACATTTACACGCCTCCATAGTCATGTAAATCCTTGTGAAACTGGACAGTGTGATGTGTGAACCCAGAATCTCTGTCGTTCTGTGATATGTGGATCATTAGAAGTGGTTGTGTATGTTTGCTGGTACAGAACATGACTGGACTTCTGTGACAAAGACTTTGGTTTCAGTGAACATTCCTAGTCCATCTTTTTTATCCAACTTACCAAAGTGCTGCATCGTGGCGTTTGTCATCGGCCTTATCAAGACGTTTTCATCATGTTTTTACATATTTTTAATATCTGAAGCAGTGTTTGGTTGACATCTCAGCTAATACTGAATCTATTTTATGCTTGTGTTAGACTGACTGTGACAAACCTGTTCCAATGAAATCATTTCTGACTAATTCATTTCTCTAACAGTAGATCAGTACACTTGAAAATGATTACTTAAGTACAGTTTTATATATTTAAGAGAACATTGGGAATACTGTGATGTTGTATCTGTCAAGCTCCCAATAAATAACTGAAGACTGGAAAGTGTATTGTGTGTCAAGTGTCACTAGTGGGCAGTGCTGCTCCAGGAACTGTGTGCTGTGTTCCAGACCAGAAGACTGAACCTTAAAAGTATAGTCCTAACTTGGTCTTCCAGTTCAGTTCAGTTAATGAAACTTGAGTACAAACTTAGCTGATAAATGTATTTTTTATAGGAGAAGATAACGGGTGGGTAGGTCAGAGACCAGCGTCAGGACGTCCTCCACATCCTAGAAAGTAAAGTAGCATCATTTTGTATACTTATCAAATGTCTTGTACAATGTAGTGCAGTAAAAAGTACGATAGATTTTCTACAGAACAAAAAGGCGTGAAGTTTACAATATACAACAAAAAGAAACATCAAACAAATTATTAACGCTAGATTAATAATCAGTGTTGGGATAGTTAATCAAAAAATGACTCAGGACTCATTAGTAAGTAATTAGTTACACTACTAGTTAAATTACTTTTTTGCTACTCCCCACAAAATTTGTAATCGTGTCCCTTCTCACCAAAATTCTTACAACCATTAGAATCCAGTTTTGTTTTTTAAAATCAAAGTAATGGAATATTTCCAGTTCCTTCAGAATCTTCCAAGGTAGTTTCCTCCACAGTTACAAAAATAAATGTAAGGATGTGATTGGATTGTTGGATTTCCAATCAGTAGGAGGTGACAACAAAAGTAAAGTTGTAAATAACATATTTTATTGCATGTATAATATTATTCCTTAAATGTATTAGTAATTAGTTACACTACTTTTTACAGGAGAAAGTAATATTATTACTACTCGTAATGAGGTACTGCCCAACACTGCTAATAATACTATACCAACTTGACAGTCTGGAAAACCAGGGGAAGAAATATGGAGTGGAATAAAGTTGAATGAATAAGGTTTATGTAGGGAAAATAAACAAAAACAGTTTGCTGATGTTATTGTGACGCTGACCTTTATCTCACTAAACTTAGACTTTTATCCATCTTTATTAGTTGCTTACCATTCCATTGTTAATGATTGATTAAAAATTGAGGGTCATGAACTTTTGTGGGCTTCTCATCATCAGAAAAAGTTTGAGAGGGGCTGATATATTCATATCTCATCATTTCAATTCAAAATGTCATCATTTTGACATCACACATTTTTTTTTTGTAGTAACAGGCTTCTATAGACAAGTCCCTTTTTATAAATTCCTTGGTTTTTTCCTTTTAAGAGGGGGTTTTCCCTTGCCCTTGTCGCCAAGTGCTTGCTCATGGTGGTACTGTTGGGTCTCTGTTATTAATGTTAAAAGTTCGTCGCCTCTCTATTTGAAAAGTGTCCTGAGATAACTTCTGTTATGAATTCCTATACAAATAAAATTATAGAATAATTAAATCTGAGAAGCAAAAATTACTCTCTGGTAGAAATGCTCAACGCTCTTACACACACACACACACTATATATATATATATATATATATATATATATATATATATATATATATATATATATATATATACAGACCATGGCTTCATTTTAAGGGATTACAATCATCCTCTTACAGCTCAGTCCCTGTGAAATAATTGATAATACAACTTGGCATTATTATTTAGAGCCTATTACAAAACAGTTGGTGTGTGTGTGTGTGTGTGTGTGTGTGTGTGTGTGTGTGTGTGTGTGTGTGTGGTGGGGGTTCCTGCTTTGTATTGATAACAACGAGTCTCTTCACTCTCTACATGTGTGTAATATATATAAACTATTTGTATGTAAACATTACTTCCTCTCCGGCCATATAAAACATTTTAGTGTCACTTCTGGGCCACTGCAAATGTATGAAGCTATACACTTTCAGTTATGTGTGTGTGTGTGAGTTTGTATTTCATATTATAAACAGGCTGTGTATTAAACCAGGGCCAGTGAAGAAGTTAATTGTAAGATACCGGAGATTGCCGACAATCGCCGAAGATGACGATTTGCGCACGAACCAAGGGGGCCAGTGAGTGTGTGTTTTTTGTGTGCGAGTGTGTGTGTGTGTTGAACTGAGCGGAGGTGAAGAAGAGGAGGATGAAGCTGGGAGCGGAGGATGGGAGGAAGAGTGGAGTAAGAGACAGGCTAGCTGTGTGTGAATGAGTGAGTGAGAGAGGAAGAGGAGAGGAAGGTCGTCTGAGGGACCGAAAACAAAGACTTGGATTTTTTGGGGATAACCTCCGGAACCTTACTAACGGAAACTTTCAACTTTTTACCCGCCACAGCTCGGCTCGTAGTGCCCGGAGCCGGCTTTGTTTCACGGCGGGGGTGTCTACGATAAATGAAGGAATAAAATAGATCCCCATCGACCTTTTTCTACCCAAGCGGGGAATACCCTGGGACTGTTTTTGCTAAAGGTTACGAGAGAATGGCGGCCAACATGTACCGAGTGGGAGGTAAGGAATGTTTTACATTTTTAAGACACCCCCCACAACGTGATTGTTCGTTTCGACAGCAAGGTGGCTAGCTAGCCGCTAGCTGTCTGTTCGGCTAGCCGCTAACTAATGCTAGCTCTCCCCTAGCGTCCGTACGTGCGTCCACTCTTGCATGGAAGAACGTCAAATCTATTAAAACAACCAACAATGTTAGCCAATGGGGAAATGTAAATAACTCCAACATTATGACTTAGTTTATACTCAGGTGTATTAAGCCGGAAACGCTCATGCATTTGGTATAACTACAATACACCAAGCAGCCTTTATTTATAGAAAATATGAACTTTTACAACACATTGGGGTGATATCCCGACTAGTTTCCTCCTCCAAAAATACGTTACCCCACCGCGGGCGGCTGCCGAGCGGCATGAACCGGCACTGAAAGTTGCTATTTAATTTAAAATAAACGCAGCCTGGTGGATATTGGAGTTGTATTCGAATTGTATTTGTAGTTTCAAGTAAGCGAACCAACCGTAATTTGCAACATTATCTGACGTTGAGTGTGTACATACGGTAACGTCCTGGAAGTGAACACAATGCTAGTTAGCAGTAGCTGCTACAGTTAGCTAGCCGCCGAGAGGTCAACATCCAATAAATTGCAGCGACGTCTGTGGTAGCTTGCTAAAGCTGGTCGGCTAGCTCTGTCGCCGTGGTGGATTAATTTCATTATCGCCTCCGCCATATCACTTCACAGGCAGCGGGTAGCGTTATCCACGCTAGTTAACTGTAAGTTTTGTTAGCTTAGCGGCTGTGCACTGTATGTGGTTTAGCCGGTTCGGAGTAACTAACGTTAGTTACCAGGGAACACAGACGAGAGAACCGCACAAGTTAGCGTTTAATTCATGGAAAAGCTCAACTAAGTCAGCAGTAACTCGCTACTTCAATTTCAGCGTCAGTGAGACTTCGTTTCATGATGTACCGCTACTCTACCGCTGCATGGAAACCGTAGCATCTCTTCAAATGAAATTAGGAGGTATAATGAACATTAACTTTCACAGCAAGCCGTGAAAAGCGTTTGTATGACACAGTGAAATGTAGCCTTATTAAGATCCACTCATTCGCTAACACCGCCGGTATAAAGACTGCCAGCTGCCTGCTTCCTCTGTTTTTATCTGTTCACTTCAGAGGGGCTTTATTGGCATGACACACATTTACACTGGCAAAGAACAAAAAAATAACTTGGAAAAAAAGTAGAGAAAGAAGTGCTAATATTTATAAAAGATACAAATAAGTGAGAACTCCTTTTTTTTTTTTTTTAATGTGCGTTGGCGTCTGTGTCCCTCAGGTTGTGCTATGTTAATGCATATTGGCCTTGTCTCCTTCTCCATAGGATTATTTTAAAGTTTTAGTGCTCATTTAGATGGTTGAAATCTGGGATTACAGAGTTTAATTGTTAAAAGAAATGATCCTGATATTATCCAATGTTTGTGTTACATTGAAGGAGGAAGTGTATCTGCCTCATCCTTACCTGTCCTACAGCGACCACATATCCGGTTGTCTTTTGGTGGCCATGATTAACCCCAGTTTCAATGGTCCTTCCATATTGGCACTGTAGCTGTAGATCTGTGGCCTCGTCTCCTCAGTGCTTGTAACCAACATCTCTCAGCATTAATAATGCTGTTAGGACTTGGTGTGCCTTCTTTGAGTCTGCTTTTCTGGGCTGAACTGACAGAGAGGCTGTGTTATCACTGTGTAAGGTCATACAGGAGTCTGTAGGCTATTTAGGTCATGCTGATTAAACACTATTCTGCAGAATAGGCTGCATAATTCTTACTTTGATCCAATGCTGTAAAAGCATATTACAGTGTAAACTTGTTTGTTATAAGGTTGCATTGTTTTTTCTGTGTTTCAGTTTGTACACTGGTTAGAATGATGCTATAATGAGTCTGGAGCTCTCATATTCACAGCAGATAGCAACCTCTTATCTGTGTTAGTGGGTTGATGTTGGGCTTTAATGAAAGATAGGGCATTGATTATTAATATGAGTATTAATGCTTCATTTAAGGTGTAACATATGTGTAATGTATGGGGGGCACTTTTATAGTTTGTAGCCTTTTGTACGTGTTAACATATTTACATTGACCTCTCCAAAGTGTAGTTCCCTATTCTAGTAACTGCCTCCCCTCTGGTGTTACCATTTCTCTTTCGGTAAAGCAACTCCATATCCCATCAGCACGTTTACATCTTAGTCATGAACCTGTGTGCAGGTCAGCCAAACAAACTGAAATGTGAAATTTATCTACAGGCAAGCATATAATTCACTGTAAATATGTTTTCAATAATAATAATGATAATACTAATAGGTGTCACACAACATGATATTCTCTTTATCTTAATTTTGCTTAACTTTGGTTGTGCTTTTAAGATTCTTCCTTAGTTTCTGGTGTATTTTGGTTTATGTGATATTCCAGTGCACACATTAAAATGACATGTGTGCATGAGATCTGTAAAGATGAACAGATACAGAAGCTCAGAGCTGTTCCTTATGATGTCTGTTTTGTGCACAGTCAACAGGCATTCTGGGGAAACTTTGCACTTTGCTGCTGGGTCTCTCAGGCTCAAGTTCTACTTTTTTGCCAGTTTGCTGGATCATGTGTGTGCAGTGGAATTTCCACAGAGGAATGCAGTGTGATGTGGCAAATAAAATGTTACTGTGAAGCTAAGTCTAGCTTGTCTAATGCAGATAGCAACAAGCACGTGATTATGTAATGACCTAGAAATTGATTTTGAAGTAGCCCCCACAGTAACAAGGTGAAGTTGTTTGCGAGTAAAATGCAGACGCAGTTACGAAGACATTACGGCATTGTTGTTGGACTTGAACCTGTCACAATGAGTTTATACTCATGCCGCAAGTGTCCATGGATTTTGCGCTCAATAAGGTTTTCTGTTGTTGCAGCCGGCTGGTGCAGGCAGTTCTGTATGAGCGAGCGCCTATATTACCAGTTCTCCAGAAGCACACAGTGTTCAGCCTGCATGTAAGATCATTATCTCCCCCAGAGATTAGTCAAAGGGCTTCCTCCTCTTCATTCACCCTCAAGCACCCGGCACACTGCGCCACTCCAGCCGTATACGTCCACAACAAACACTCACTGCTGCCTCAGCAGACTTTCTTTTTTTAGATCTTTTCTACCCACTGTTAATTACACATATACATTAACATAAAACCTCTTCACAGGCCACATGATTATGCAGTGTGTGTTTCTATAAGGGTAGACGGTGTAAACCCTCTGAAGTCCTGTGTTGTTGTTTTTCCTGGATCATTGCTTCCCCCCCCCAATGATCCACTGAGCTGGCCTCAGTACTGCTGGAACAGAATCATTCAGTCAGTCCCACTGGGCAAGAAGAAGAGATGGATGGCTAGAATAAAAGAATAAGTCCCTCCTTCCACCATCACTACGTCTTAAGAGCTAGAATTAGTCATGTCAGGCACATGAGAGTGCAGATCCCCTCTTGGTGCTTCAGCCAGTGTTATGTAATGTGGTTGCTGTTGCGTTCCTCCACTGTGAACAAGGAGGTGATGCTTCCCTGGTCGGACTCCCCATCAGCGTGCTAAGTAGAGCAAGAAATCCTCTCCCCGTCTGAATCCTTCCTTCCCCGTCCCCGCTCGTGGTGATGCATCAGAAAGCCACTGATATCCTCCTGAGGCTCTCCGTCCCTGCTTGTGGGAGGACCAGATGGAGCTTGACGTGAAGCCACACTGCTGTGCAGAGCTGCATCAAACAGAACAAGGAGGCACTGTGTCTGGTATGATGGGTGATAAGTGACTGGCAGGTTTAATCAATACAATGTTTAAAGTCTCAACTCTGTGATAAAGCTGCCAACAGCTGGCAGTGTGAGCCCACATCAGCAAATCTGAATATATTTACAAAAAATAATAACAATCCAGTAATTACAAACCTTTAACAAAGTACTATGCCGTCCTCTAATTTAAGAGCCAATTTAGTGTTTTGCATAAATCACTGACTAATGTGCACAAAATAAGATGAAAATTCCAACTCAGCCTTGTTGCAGTGTTACATTAAAGTGTTAAATGTGAAGCTGTTTGAAGGGGCTGTATTTGTATCAGGGCACTGTGACCAATCTGTGTCTTGTAGAGACAAACAAAAATATTTCAGTTTAATTGCAGATTTCAGTTAAATGATCTACTATTGACTTTTAAAACACTGAAGTCAACCTTTGCACCCGTGCACTGTCTTAGTGAATGTGTGAACGTTTGTGAAGTGCAGACCGTTGTAATGGTACAGTTGCTGCAGAGCTGCATGTGTCAATGTCTACACTGTGGAAACGGGTATTACAGTGTGCATGAGAATGTGACACCCTGGCAAGTGCAGGACTTTGTTATTCTCATTCAACAGTTTTGCACATGTAGGCATAAAAATATAGGTGTCATGTATTAGTGTTTGTTTGGATTTACTCTGTTATGTGCACATTATTGGCTAATGCAACTTAAAGACAAACACAAAGAAACACAATATGAAGCAAACTATAAACAATAAATGAAGCTGAAGCACTGACAGGAGAAATGGAAAGCCGTAGATGAATTCTTGATTTAATAATTGGGACAATTACAGTGTAGTTTATAGTCTACATAGTGACCTCTGATCACAAGCCTTTGCATTTACACTCTAGCCCCGAGGAAAAGTGCTGGGTTTTGACATAGTGGCCAAACTTTAAGTACAGCAATGGCGTTCTGGGATGGGATGCCTACTGGCCCAAAAATTTTCCCATAAGCCAACATTGTGAAAGAAGCAGCTGTAAAACATTGGATTTATATAATTTTATCACCATTCAAGTTAGCGGAAGGCTTACCCAGAAGTCAGCGGCTCAGCTGGCAGAAGTCTCTATTGTGCATCCTCTATGGGCCCCAAAATGTGGAAGCTCTGGGTAATTTTACTCCCAGAAATCAAACTCTCTTTCTCTCGTATATATATTAAAATTAGGTGGGCAGAGCTGGAGTGTCT